AGTATCCATCCTTGAACATGCAAATACAAGAGTTTTCTTAACGCACGGAGGAGTGTCAAGTTGTCACGAGTCATTATATACAGGCACCCCAATGTTAATATTACCATTTGCTTTTGATCAATTTTCTAATGCCGAGAAATTAGAAGAACAAGGTGTTGCGGTTAAGTTGGATAAAAAGAATTTAATCATGGATGATATTGTAAGAAAAATCGAATTTTTACAGTTGGATGCTAGAGTTAAGGTTAATTTAAAAAGAATGCAAGTGTTGGCAAAAATCAATAGTAAAAGAAAAGATAGGGCTGCTGATTTAATTGAATTTGTTATGAAAGCTTCTCAATTAAATCCAAACAAGTTCAAATATGATGATGAAATTGTGAAAGAAAGTGTTGACAAGAATGTTCCCAATGACGATGAAGGAAAGGAATCTACAGAAAAAGAAAGTAATAATGAAAACAGCCGAGAAACGAGTAATGAAACGGTTTACAATCCTGAACAACTTATAATAGAAGATATTTATGAATGGTTATTAAAAGAATGGATTACACCTGATACCAGAATGGGTTTTATCAGAGGAAAATATTTCGATGTATACGGAACTGTATTAACTTTATTATTAAGCTTGATTTTGTTTGCTGTATGGGTTGGTTGGTCGGTGGTTAGTTTTATTGTTAATAGTATGGCTTCTTTGATCGAAGGAAAATTAAAAGCAGATTAAAATTTTTTTTTTTGTTTGTAAATAAAATATTTTATATTAATAAAATAGACTTTTTTTGTGAATTTATCTTATATATCACGTGATAATTCTGCGGCAACTTTATCATTGCGACTTCAATACAAAATGTAAAATGCATCATCTTAATTTTTATTTTTTTTTTTTTGCAATCCATATTAACTTTCTAATTCTTAATAATTTGAAAGACTTCATATTCTTTCACAACAAACAAATCTCTGACCTAAATTAGTGCATCCGATTGCAATTTATAATTTACGTTCGAGCAAAATAAAGCTTTCAAAGATAGTCTCAAAATCACCAATCCTAGAGGATTATAACAATTTGATTCTCTTGAGAAATTATGACGATAACACGATTCAATGAAATTCTTGAGAATGAAAATCATCATCTCGATTTGCACGATATTAAATTCCATTCAAATCTGAGCCAAGTGAATCTTTCTCGTAAAGACCAACTTTCAATCTTTTAGTGAATCAATAGATTTAGCAAAGGTAGAAACTCATCAATTATTCCATTAAAGTATTTCATTAAATAGGATAAACTTTTCTATAAAGCTCGGTTTTTTAACATTGATAATTAAATAATAACTTGAAAAACTTCATAAATTCTCTTATAATAGTTTGATAATTTATCCACAATTAGATTCAAATTTATCCAAATTCCGAAGTTAATTACGAAATGTATTACCTGTTAAAAGCTAAAAATAAAGAAAAAGAAATTTATTGAAGAAAAATTTTAAAATACAAAATAGACGTTCCCAAAAATATACTTAATGATACAGGTAAAGAATCAACTTTCCTTATCACTAACTCTAACCTTCTACGTTTGTATCAGGGGGAGGATGCGTATATACAATTCTATGAATCTAAAAATAATGTTCTGTTCGATATCCATGAACTTTAGTTGATCTACGATATCTCTTAATCAATTCACTCAGATCTCCTATAATTTCGGTATTTGGATTCCATTCAAATCTAATCGGCAGGGATAATTTCTTTCTACTACTTATGAACCTTTCAACCCCTTTAGAGGAAAGGGACCAACCTCTTCCCACTATTAATTTTCTCAAAGCCAAAGGTTGTTTTCTGGTAAGTTCTCTAAGTATATTATCAAAACTTTTTAAATCTGAATTTGGAACGGGAGCGTAAAAATTATACCTTGAGCATTGTAGGTGTAATTTCTGTAGATTTGTACAAGAATCCAAAAGTATCCACAATGCAACCACATCACCTGATCCAATAGGTCCCTCATAAGAGATGAGATTTCGATTATTTTTAGCTAATGAATTTATCCATGTGATAGAATAATCAGGGTCATGCCAATTATATCCTTGAATCTTGAGATGCGTCAACTCTTTAGAATTTTTTATAAATTTGCAAAGATTTTTTAAATAAATTTCTGATATTAAAGAAATAAAGGAAAATTTTATAAGTTTTTTTAGGGATATTTCAGTCAAATCTTGAAAATTTTCTTGAGAAATATTTCCCATATAATTTAAAAGATTAAGTTCCTCTAAATTTACAAAGTAATTCAATTCTTTCAAGGATAAACAAACATTTTTTAACGTGAGTTGAGTTAGAATTTCAGCTTTATATAAAAGTTCTCTAAATATTTCGTTGTCCCAAGCAAATGTTTCATTTTTTGTTTGACGACGATTCGATGTTTTAGAATTATCGACAAGTGTGAGCGATATTAAATTCGTTTGATTACTAATTAATCTGGCCGTATGTTTTACATCCTGTGATGGACAAATCTCCAATTTATTAATTCTATGACAAATCGGTGAAAGAGTTTCGAATAATTTTGGCATCGTCATAAATATTTTACCAAATGTGAAAGTTTTGACACTGGCTAAGGAAATATTTGCCTCGGGTACATTTCTTATGGCTGAAGTTAAAGATTCTGAGGTATAATTATCATTATTAACTATCAATCCATATATGGTTGGCGTTGATTTGAAAATATGTTCCAACAATACTTGTACGATAATTGAAACTCTCCTTCTTAAATCAGGGTTCCTTTCACTAATAATACGACCTACTTTATATTGAACCCACTTTGTTAAATGCCATTCTAAGCTACGGATTCTTATGTAACGTACAAATTTGGCGTAATCAAATAATGTCTTTCTTGACACTATAGGGATGCCCATCTTCTTTTCGTTTAATGTATTTAAATAATGTTGTGGTAATGATTCAAGTAATATGGAAATCATTTGAATTTTCTTATTTCTTGGTAATTGAGAACTACGTTTAAATTTCCAGGGATCACGCCATAAGATGCTTATCGCAATTTTGCACCATCCTCGATTAACTAGCGTACATGCGAATAGAGTATTTGGATCATCATCAAGGAATTCTAGTATATTGATGATACAATCAAGGTTTAACAGTGGTGTCGGATGACATATTAATTTACCTTGATTGAATCTTCAAAGGAATATAAAGAAATTAACTTTGAGAAAAAAAATGAAACAATGTAAATTTCAAATATGAATACCTCTCAAGATACCATGGAACGTGTATGGTTTTAAGTGTCTCCATTTTTTGTGGTCTAATCCTAACGACCATGTCTTGAAGAGCATAAATCATAACGTGATCGAGGGTTAACTTTGAACCCATGATGGGAGTTATAACTTGACTTGTGCTTATCCTTGTTACCATCTTGAAAAAATATATATATATAAAATAAATACAACGATGATAATGTACAGAAATTTTTTTTTGTTTTTTCGGAAAAAAAGAAAAAAAACCCGTTTAAATAAATAACGCCAAAAACGCGGATCTATCATGTGATGAAATATTTTTTTATGCACTTATTATGCGACCACAGTTTTGCGACAAAGAAAGTGGCCTGAGTTTTTACGTTTTAGAACGGATCGGCAAAATCATTGGCTGGTTAACAATATCAGCTGTCAATTTATATGCATATTTGTTTGGATTAAATAATAAGAAACTTTGTGGCGCGACATAACTAAACAAATAATATGAATTACTCTCTTAGGTTTAGTAAAGATCATTGTAAAGAAAGTTTTGTTACAATTCTAAGATCATACTATGATGAAAGCAAACCCCGAGACATTTTCCTAAAGTATTCTTGAATAATAGATTCTTTTTATCAACATAAGGAAATTTCAATACTTTCAAAGATGAACTAAAAAATTTATTAACGTTCAAAATTTTGTATCCTGAAAAATTATAATTAAAAAAAACTTATTCTGAATTGATTTCTTCAATATCCCACTTTAAATTAAAGTAGATGTAATTATTAAATATATCTTTCTGAAATTTCAGCTTTTCAAAACATTCTTTTGGCAAGATATGTCGGGAAAATTTCGTTTCCACAGGTAAATGAGTAACATGACTTCTGATCGGGTAGAATTTTAATCCGGGTTTGATATGTTCCGAGCCTCTACTTCTAATAAGGTAAATCTGTTGATTAATGCATTAATATAATAAGATCGGACTTTCTATTTCCTAGTATGGAACATTCGATCGGATACAATTACATGATCTAATGGTTCGAAGAACTCAAATTCACTCATTTATTGTTCGAAAGCTTTAGCGGAGGCAACTACAGACATTTAAGAGAATTCTTATATTCAATATGATTTTAAGATTAGAAGTTTACTTTTGTTGAAATCATTTGTTTTTTTTTTGTAATCTTTAGTATACCTAGCAACCTTTCCAAGCGTCTTTTACACTATATTGTGTTCAGATATCTCTCATTTCTAAAATATTGCTGTTTTTGCTTTGCATTTATTCAAATTAATATCTTCAATTCCAAAACCAAATTATTGAGTTCAAGTTACACAAAGTCTGTAATTTTCGGAGATGCTGGAACCGGATTTATTTTTTATATCCGGATTTATTGTATTCTTAACTGCTAGCATTTAAGTAAAAAATAAATTTTTTGAGTCATTTCAAAATATAAGTTAGCAGTGTTTATAATTAGTTATAATACCAAAGGATTAATTATTGATGAATTTCAAAATAACAAATTATTTTTATTATATTATTATAATATAGCAAATACAATTTAATCAGTTTCTAAAGGAGGAAACATAGGAAAATATAAACTATTTCGTCTTAAAAACAACATCTGATTCACCAATTCGGGAGCTAATTGCATTCTTTTTGTTGAAATATGATGAAAAAAGTCGTTCACTAGGAACTAGGTAGCAGGGATTTGTGAGAAAAATAGGATTATTTGCTTTATGTTTTGCCACCAATCTAAGGGATCGGCACAATAGAATATAATAATGTTATCATCTATTTGTGAAAATTTCCGGTTGATTATCAGGCAATACATCATTGTCATCATTTAAATCTGTTATAACCGGCATTTTATCTCCAATATCTTTTGAAAGTATAGTATCTTGATCATACAAACTTTTTAATATACCTGTATTTGTAATTCTATACGATCAAATTCATTCTG